GTTAAGCATTATTCGGTCTTCCATATATGACTGAATGAATTTCGAACCGTGGCTGGATAAATTGCGTTTGGATAATCGTAGAATGATTTTGGTAAAAATATTTGATACACTACAGCTATCAGAGGAAAGTGTTAAATATATACATGTACTTCACAAAAGTTTGGCTATCCTAAACCTTTGTGCAAAGTGGCTGCCAAGAGGCTGATTTATCTTGTATCCAATCAATGGAACCGAATGCGAAATTGCATGAATTGGAATGGCTTCGGTTCACTTCCGCGTCCAATGTATTCTCAGGTACTAGCACTTAGTGGCTTTGTCCTGATTTGAAATCTGAGCATCATAGTTGTTAGATACAAATTGCTCGTTTTGAGTCCTTTTTTAAGCAAAAGATTAGTGGCACTATAAACTTTCTACCGAAATCTGCAATATTACTATGATCTATTTATCGACAATTATATTGAATAGTAAATTAGATTTTTACTCAAAAAAAAAAAAAAAAAAAAAATTAAAAAAAAAAAAAAAAAAAAAAAAAACGTTTTCCTGATTGTATGAAAATGTACAAATCTTTCATTCATTCATTTGTAAACATTTTCATTATTTCTTAATTATCACAGCGTTTCAGGGCTTTCTTGTAAGTGGGTACACACACCAAGAATTTGTAAGCTCGTGCTAATTGACTTTGCGCCATTTAGCTATGCATCGGATCTATAGTTCTATTTACACTTAGTTTTAAGATCTCATAATTTTTTACGTTTAACATTATGTTATTAACTTAAAATGAATATTCTTTATTTATTGACTCTGCTTTTCTTCGAATTTTTTGCATGTAAATAAAATTTTAAGAGAATTACGAAACAGTTGCAAATGCGTTTGTTAGTAGATTTATTTTTCAAGAATTTAAAGGTGTCAAGGTGTATCAAATAAAGTCTATAAATTCTACGCGTTACGAGTTTTTTTACATATAAGTAAATAAAAATAAAAACATTTCCTTAAACGATGAGTCCATTTATTTAGATTTATAAATAAAAATGTATATAGGAATGAATTTTATAAATCAGTGACTTTTTATATATCGATATCGATGAATCGTCTTGAGTACTACTCAAATCAGCAAAGAAAATTTTAGCCTAATAAAAATTTTCTACTTCTTCTTTACTTCATCTATTCAGACGACATGTTCTAGTCAGCGTAGCCGCTGTCTTTTAATTCACTGTAATACATACATACGACAATTTGCCAATGCGTAAAGGACCATAGATCTTCCGCAGGATCTTTCTCTCGAAAACTCGTCATGCCAACTTATCACTGTTTTCAACGTCCTTTGTTCGTCGAGAGAGGGCTCTACTTCCCAATTGCGTACTCACTTCGAAGTAGCACAGGTTGGCAAGAGTTGTTCTACGTTGGATTTAGAGCCTGACGTTGTTGTTGATGGCTGATAAAAATAGCTCGATCAAGAAGGCATCGCTAATTCGCAACTTCCAGCCAAACACTAGCATTTACGCCGAAAGCAGAATGGTAATACTAGCACTGAACACGCTAGATGTGCGTTCAAAGCTAGTGAAAGGTTTCTTACTAGAAATTGCATAAAGCTATTTCATCGTCTTACTTGTTTGGGTGCCTGGTCACAGTTGCAATTGGCTACAAGGCCAATTATCTAGCCGGAGGTGGCACCCAATCCCTGCTCACATTGGAATGGGATCAAGTTGGATCTTCATTGGCATCTTGCGTTCTAGCACAACATCGCGTGCGCTTAGTAGGCGCTGGTCGACGACACGCTTCTGTGCGTAGGCAAGATCATTTTGAATTGAGTAGAATTTAGGAGATCTTCTTCTTGCAATCGTTGGCGATGGACATCATAACCTAATCTAACCATAGAAGCTTGAAATTAAAGTTTACAAAGAGATTATGATTCTATATTTTGCCAGGAGAGGCGAGGTACACACCAATCTAAATACCTTCTTACCTAACTTACCTTTTACCCAGTGTCGTATACTCTTACGTTAAAATTTTTTTATAAACTCTTATTGTAATTACTTGATCGTTAATTCTTGTTTTCGACTTACAAATACACAAGTTCACGAGTATTGTACTCTTTTTGACACTAGAGAAAAAAAATAGGTGTTTGTATCCATGCAGCATTCTCTAACGGCGATTAGTTTGTACACACGCAATTCTATCTGCGCATGTAAACAAGATCGCAGTTCAATTGAAAGAACAGCAAAGCTGAGAAACTTTGCGCATATTCCATGTCGTTTATTTTTCAAGTGGGGCACATGTCCAGCGAAATGCCCATAAAATTAATTATTTCATTTATTAAATGATACTTTTAAATATGAGTACTATGTCATGATCGTATGGTGCTGCTGCTTAAGCAGTCGGGGCGTTTTCTGTGTTATTTTTATATCGGGTGATTTTTTTGAGGTTAGGATTTTCATGCATTAGTATTTGACAGATCACGTGGGATATCAGACATGGTGTCAAAGAGAAAGATGCTCAGTAT